ACACATTCATCGGAGAAATATTCTACCCAACACAAGGTTTCTTGGACAAGCCGTCTTCCCGACATTTAGCTTGAAAAACGAAGCGCGATAACTTAACGCGGGAGATCAATATGAGACCCGACCCATGCCTCTCTCCTTTTCACAGTCCGCTGCTTCTTCAGCACCATTTACTATCACGCTACATTTCACCAATTGAACGCCTGGAAAAGGAAACAATTTATTCTCAGTCATCCCTGTTTCCCTTTAGTTCATCCATTCCTCGTTGTCGTTTTTCTATTCTCACAAACTGTTATTTGTCCAATGAAAAACCATGCAGATTATGAATTCAAAATTTCCATCGGGCAACAAACAATGTACGACAAACAAGTCACCGCTGATGACATGTTTCGAGCTATGGAGAGCAACCCTTTTGAAAAACTTATCAACCTGAGGGGAAACGAGAATTCCTTCGGATTATCGAGAGTTCGAGTTATTAAAGGTTTGAGTTCCGCGGTGAAAATTACAACAAATAAATGACGCCAGGGGGTTCGAATAACAAAAGCCGCCCTGAGAAGAGAGGCTTTAGCCCTTCGTTCCTCCCCTCACGTTTCGATGGGGCAATTTAAGGCAAAGGATCGTGCATGGCGAAATAATCAACTATTATTCACTATTATTATTCACTATTATTATTAAGTGAAGGTGAAAAGTGGTGGATATTTACGGCGCCGCCGTATTCACCTTCCAACGACAATCAGGTGAATAATTGTTTTAGCATACACCACACATATACAAAAAAATTAGTTTATTTTTTTCAATATATCGAAAAATGCTCAGAAATTTAACTCTTGAAGCGCGGTTTTTTTTTCTCAGCAACTCGCTGGTGAATAGTAATTATTATTCACTTCCAAACTAACCAATAAGCGCGCGCGCAAAAAGCACAATTTACAGGTGTGGTTTATACTTAGATTTTATTTAACGTTTTTCAAACAACTGGCTTCGGAAAATATGCATGCAAAGATGTTTGCATTTGTTATTACAACTTGTCTGGTGGAGATTGGCTTCCTAACCCCAACCCCCTTCCGGTCTCCCCTCCCTTCCCCCGCCAGTCGACTGTGAAAGGGATCAGAATAAACTTCTCTCCCACTGGCTACAATACCCACCTGATGTATGGTGTATTAGCTGGAATGTGATATTTGCATCCAGGATCAAAGTCATTTTCTGTCCTTTCCACAGCAGGTTCTATTCCCTGGTACTTAGTCCTCAGTTCCCACCACGCGGTATTGTAATTCTCCTCAGTGATCTTACCGCTGAAAACTTTCCATCTCCATTGGTCGATCAAGAATCCGAAAGGAAGGAAAGCCACCTTACGCAGGGCCATCTTCATCAAGGCGTTTATGTCGGATTCTGCAAAATGAGGTTAAAAGAAATAAAGCTTGTGCTTGAATTAATTTTTGTTCACAACTGTATATTTAGCCGGCAAGCTATATAGACAGCGTTCTTTCACCCGCAGGTAAGTATGAGGCCTAGAGCACTGCAAGTGGGCGTGGCCAATTGCGTGACACGTTGACGCAAGCAGCATTGTTTGTACACTTATTGACATCGGCAAATTGGCCAATCAGATTGCGACATCACTGCCAATTGTGATAAAATTCTTACTTATCACGTACTAGTGAGGAAGGCTCGAGTTATCAAAGGTAAAATTTGCATAAGTAGTGACCTGGCGGAAACAGAAATACTTGAAGCTAATAGAACTCGAAGTTATAGTTATCGAAGGTTCCAGTAACCGAAGTTTAAATTACAGTAATAGTATGAAAGACTCGAATTGAAATCGATTTCACGTGATGTTCTAGTAACCGAGGTTAAAATAACTGACATTTTCGGGAGAAAATGCTGAGTAAAACGATTTCGATTCGAGCTGGTGCTAAGATCGTAAAAGTACCTGCTTGAACTACAGATGCTAAAACTGCTGTAATTGTATCACGAAAATTCATGATGAGTCGATTTTTATTCATGCGTGGTTCGTTAACGGCGAGAAATTGGAGTCGACTGTTTCTTTCAAACAAGGATTACCATCTTACCAGTATCATTGCTGACCTCCTTCAGCAAACCAATTTTCTGCAAGTGCTGTGGCGTATCAACCGACAAGGACATGGTGTCTCCAACTGCCTCATGGAAACCAGGGTTGGCTCCAGTGCGATAGACGTTAGGTTGGTCCTTGTACTGCAAGTAATACTGGATGTGCCCTAGCTCGTGGTGCGTGGTTACCAAGTAATTGTGTGTAACAGTAGTGCATTGCTTGACTCTATGAATGAAAGAAAACACAACACATGTTGTGTTCACGACGCTTAAAGTCTTAGTGTTCGGGTCTAATTTAGTAATTTCGCGAAATCCACGAAATTAAGTTTTGGAAAAATTCTATCGGAAGGTAGTCCGTATAAGTTGTGACAGCCCCCACTTTCCTGAATTCCTACCGACTATACATGTTTTCAGGCGAAAAAAAGTTTATTTTAAGACTGAAAAGATGTCTTTAATGAGATGTCACGTTAATTTTTAGTAGCGCCCCGTTGCGTGACATTCAAAAGAAGTCTACTAAGGATGCAAAGGAGATCTCTCGGGCATTAGACTTCATTAAACTTCACGGATTGTATTCTATTCGTAAAAGATACGTTCTCCAAGTATTAATTCTTGCGGATGTGGTTTTCCTCTTATTGCATGACGAGCGTCAACACAAACATGTTACGTAACATCGGTGAAGGCCTTCCTTAAAAGATTCGCATTTTGAAAAAAGGTGACAAATTCAAACCCCTCTAGCAGTCTGCCTGGGGTAGCTGTGACGAACTGAATTGTCAAGCGAAAGAATACAGTCGAAATTTTAAACACTTAGTAGTCATATGATAAAATGCTGCGCTCTGTCCGCACACCTTGAGCTTGAGCCAAATATTTCCCGTCCGGCCCTACCACTCAGTAATTAAGCAAAAAAAGCAGTTTACTTACGACTGGAAATATCAGTTAAGTTAATTGACAAGAGATCAAAGGTTGTATAAATATGAGGTAGCACTAATGTAATTGTCGGACGAGTAGAATTAAACCAATATCACAATTGTCTATTACAAGACATGGTGTTTATCTTTTGGCAAGTTGAAAAAAAAAGTTTCCTAATTGCATTTCATAATCGAAAAGAGTCCTGTGTCGCAGTTTTGCCTGTCGATCGTGACTAAAAATTTAGAAGAGAGGGCCTTCTTTTTAGGAAATTTTGTTCCACATTTTTTATTCCTCTGCCTCAAGAAGGCATTCACAGTTTGATGTTGCCACGAAAATTTTAAAATCAAATACATCCTTCAAACTGCAGTCAGACTAAATGAACCAAAACAGTTCACTTCCCAGCGGCGTCGTCCGGAGATAGTAAATTATGTAAACAGAATAAATACCGGCCTAAATAAACCGTTTCTTTTTTTTCGTTTTTATAAGGCTTCGAGGTGAGATCATGCTGTCTAAGATGAGTACTTTTTCACCACGTTTAAAAATAATGTCTCACCTGACATCTTTATTGATGCCGAAATCCCACGCTGACGCGTGACAGATAACTTCACGGCCTTCGGGTTTGGTTATCATGGAGTTGTTGTAGAAAGAGCTGGGGAGCGGTTCAAGTCCAATCGACGTGAAGAAGGACTCCGCCAGTCTGAACATCTTATCAGCATTATAATTTTGCTTCTTCATATTTGCTGTCACATCTAAACTCGGCTTTCCTTTGTAGGGTTCAACCAGATCGTAGATATTCACCCATGACTGCGCCCACATGTTGCCAAGCAGATGTGCCGGAATGGGCCCATCTGTAGACATTTGCGGATATTTTTTGCTCAACTTGTAACGCACATAGGCGTGCAATTCTTGGTAGAGGGGCCTCAGTTTGTTCCAAAATCCCTCCACCATTCCTTCCAGGTCTTCAACTTCGTACCAAGACCGCCAATATTGACCAATGTCTTTCCAACCGTTTTCTGTAGCACCTTCATTCTTCAGTCTCACAAATTCAGTGTATTTATTTCGGAGCTTCGGGCCAACTGCATCCCGCCAACCTTTCCAAGCGAACAGTAGCCGATCGTAATTACGCTCCGTAGACAAAATCTTGTAAAGGTCGGGGTTCAGAGAAAGTTTTTTTCCTTTGTCATCCACTTTTCCCGTGCTGTATATCTCTTCCATTTCCGACTCTAACTCTGTTAGCTTCCTCAGCGTTTCGGCATCCTTCGGAGTTGCGGTTGAAGTAATGAACTTGATCTGACGCGCGGTGTCTGCTGAGAGCTTTGAGGTATCGAAATTGGTCGCATTCTCACGCATTTGTTTGTAGAAAGCGGAGAATACCAAACTTATGTTCGTTTTCATCGCTTTGTTGTGGTCAGTCAGGTTTGTAGCGTAGTTCCATGATGCGACAGACGTTTTGTAATCCTCTTTGGGTACAATATCGTTGTAATTTTTGAGGAAGTCCTTCGCTGCCAGTTCCGCCGCCTGATCAACTTCACTGAAGGTTGGAAACGGCGCTAGCGCGACAAAAACAGCAAAGAAATGAAATATATGGAGTTTCATTGTGAGGACGGAATGCAAGCTTCGCCGCAAGCTTCGGTTCCAATAAAGAAGTGGGCGTTTTTCCGTTGTGTACTGTCCTTGGTTAGAGATGTCGCGCGCCGTACGAGCGCGTCAAATTACGTGTACCGCTGTCACTTTTGAGAAAAGAACAATGATTATATTAGTAACATACACAAGCAAAACAAACGTCATCGGAGCCGGTAGCTTGTTTACACTCCTCAAACCCTAAAAAAAGGGGAAGGGGGGTTGTGGGTTGCGAGGAGAACGGAGGGGGGCTGGGGTATGGTCGGAGAAAGAGCTTTTATTCTTCCGCTTTGCACTTGTCCTCGCGCGTTTGCCACACGCTCTTCGTCGCTAAACTACCAAAACAAAACAACAAAACCAAACCCTCGAAACAGTGTGTTTATATCATTTTTTTTATCGCCCAAAGCCTCTTGTGGCTTAGCCACCCGCCCTAATGAAACGGCTCTGGCGCTTGACACTTCATAGGCTCGATTTCTGCCGTGCTATCGAACCTGGTCTGCGATCCTCCCTCAAATTTCTTGGTTCAGAGGAGGAGCGCACACTCATTTCCTGAACAATGGTTGTGAATAAAAAAACTCAAGGAACATTCAAGCAAAATCTTCGCCAAAATTTGATTTCTTTCCTTTCCTAAGCTTAACCAGTATCATTTTTTTAGCAGATTCTCATATAATTCATCTAGTAAGACGATGAAACAGGGCAATAATAAGAAAAAAAAAGAAAACAAAAAAAACATGCTGTATAATGAAAGTCGCTGGTCGAAATTTCGAGGCTCCCTCTCCTCTGGAAACACGGCCTCTTATATACATGCTAATCAAGACCCCGACAATAAAATGTACTCTGTTTAGCGGTTCACGGCGGCTCGTTTAGGTGAGGTAAGCGAGTGCTATCTCAAAGCGACTGCGACTCTATAGACTGAATTATACGAATCACGGTTTCGATCTACTGAATATAAAGGCAAACTAAAGAACTTTCAGACTTGAACGCAAGTTGACCTCAATTTCTAGTCCTCTCTCGAAATACAGAAATAATTAATTGCAATACCTTTAGAAAGAGAGTTCAGTGCTTCTGCAATAGATCTCTGAAGGGTCGTTGATCTGTCTCTCGCTTGAACCAAGATTCGAGGGAAAAATCTTTCAATATAGACCGATACAACGCCACCTCGGACTTCTTTTCCTTATAGTAGAGAAATCGAACCGTGTACAGTTTACAAAATACTCAGCTGAAGTGAAAAAGGTACCTGCAGCAGTTAACAAATTTGTTACAAAACAAATAAGTTAACGAATCTTGCATTGACTAAATGAAGCAGGGGATTTCAGTTTCTAAGAAATTGAAACTTACGAGTCATCCGTAACTCGGAAAGCCGACAGACCGACCATCGAGTATTAGCCCATATTTCATTGATAAGTCCGCTCACGAAACGTTAAATTATTTTCCTTAAGTCCGATTTCGCTTCTCCCTCTGGACCAGTCCTCACTGAGACGAGACAGTTGATCACGCAAGGAGCAGAAAATGTCCTTGACATAGCGCGAAATTTCGTATAACTGTCGTTTTTAAATGGATTGAATCGAAATGATCTTCTCTTGCTATCTGGTTAGCTGGACACTCTGTTTACTTCGGGGCTGTTTGTTTACGATAAAATTTAAACATATCCTTATCTAGAAGATTTATAAGGGCTTTCTTACCTTGGCGTTGGGAATATGAATGCAAATAACATATTTGCATAAGCCATTCAGTTAAAAAATATTGTAAGCAGTTGATAATTTCCTATTTCGATGGCGGTCGTATTTTGTAATTAGAGTGATTGTTATCGTTTCTTTCTAAGAGAAAATACAGCCCATTTAACTCCACAGTAATTATGGCATATTATCCTATCGCGAGTTCCACATGAAAGCAGATGTTCAGTTTCTACGGTGATTAAAACTTGCTGCGAAGTATTTCAATTATCTTGCGGTAAGATATATTTCTATTATGATAATCTGCAAGTAATTTGATCTGGTAAAAGTTAATCTCGTAAAGGAATTCCTGGAAATTCCTTCTTCATATACTTCGGATTCTTTCCAGGTTCGTTTTTATATCAATTTCATGTCTAGCTCACGATCAAAAAGATAAATCTTGATTTTTAGTTTGGCACGTTCAACGCCTCTTTCTGTGGGGCGTAAGCGGCTTGTACTTTTCGTCTTCCGCGCTGGGTTTGTGGTCGATTGACCTATATGAGCGGCGGGTAGTTCTTTTGGGGGCGGTGCCTTGAATTCTGTGTTTATTCTGTTGTTATGTAGCAGACTTTGGGGGCTGTTTTCGCTTAAGTTATCTTTTTGAGTATGGTTCTGATTTACGCAACGGTTTCTTTGTAATTTTTGTGTTGTCGGTCTTCATTTTGTTTTGGCCGATCTTGTCCGCAGGGGTGTGGAGTTTTGAGTAGAGAGTCGTTTTGGAATAAATCAACAAGCCGGGGGTACATGCTTAGTGTGCGGGAATTGTTTCGCGTAGCTCGGCATGATCCAGTGGCTAAGTGGGAGATCGTGACGTTGGTCGGGTGTTGACAGCTTGCTAACTGTCACCTTCATGGGCTGGAAACCGACGCTTTCCGGGAGAGTTGCGTTAGACCCTTAGCTAGCATGTTGTATTAAGAACTTACGAAAGGAAATGTAGACGGAGAGTATTAAGGGAACAAGGAGTGTTAGAAATACCTCTAACGCGTTTCCCGAAATCCTTGACAGCTAGCAACTTGAGATATTGAGAGTTTGGAAATTCAAAAAATTAAAAATATCAAGATTTGAAACCTTTTTTTTAGTCAACGCCGCACATCTACGTTGGGGATTTAGATTTAAAGTGTAGCTTCGGCTCCATAGATTAAACGAAACTTTCCCAAAGGCGAAAAGTCTCGCGAGCGAGCTCTCGCGTACAAGCTCTCGCGTGCGAGCTGTCGCTTGTCTATTCGCTCGCTCTCCGAGCACCTGCCAGGCACGCCACCTGTATTCAAACAACTTCCGATGTTTCGGTGGTAAGTTGTTTATAGGTCTGAAATAATTTTACGTAACACTGCACTAGAAGCGGTTCACGACTCCCATGTCTCCTATTTGCTCCGTAAAAGTTTTCCCTGTGATCAGTGGATCATACCCACCAGTTAAACTTATCATAGAAGTGATCCCTGAATTTAGAGCCATGTCTGTCACTTCCCTAATGGCCAAGTGTAAGGTAGTTCATGCTGTCATGACCGCAACACCAACAAAAACAATTTTAAAGTGAGTTAACTTACATTTTCCTTCGATTTATACAAGAGGCTCCGAGTGTCAATAGTCTGTAAGGGTGCCCGACCTTCTTGGCTCCCAGTTTTTTGGAATTACCGTCGTACTTTACTAGTTTTTTTACTCTTCTGTGGAGAGTATTTTCTTGACGCCTTCGTGGAGGGATTTCTAATTTAAGATTTGCCTCTCATCGGATGTGTGTGCAGGAAGTTGTCGCCGTAGGCATCAATATAGCTTGTCCCCCTGAAAGTCGCCTCCGCTATTCTTTTCTTACGATGATGATGATCAGAGGTGTGGCAAGACAAAAGTGACGATGGTGCTTTCGAAAATATCACTTCAGTTAAATTGAGAGCAGAGAACATTAAATAATTGCAGAGGACTTACAAAATCCTCTGAGGACCGCTGTACGATCGAACCTTTTCGCAGGACTGATGTCAGAGACTGTAAATATATCTTGAAAAGCTAACCGGAAGTCAGAATGAGAGGTTGTTTTGGAAAACCGATTGGTCGGTTTTGCCGTGGTGATAAAATTGATATTGCACAGCAGTCGGTAGGAAAGAATATCCAACGGCTTAGGGCTTTGCAGTCATGTTTAAAATCGATTAACCAAAACACACACACCAAAAAGGCATGATTGAAACGAGTTGTTATTCTTACCAAAATTTAACGAGGAAAAATATCGTATCTGACCATTCAGGTGTAACTATATGCACATCTCATAAATTGTCTCGTCGGGTATAGGAAAAAATTTATACTATATATTAATTACGTTCAAACTGACGAAAAGTGAAGCGATAGTCATTGTCAATGTGCCAGCGGAGTTCAAAGACCACGCATGCGCATGCGGTCTTACTGTGGTTACCGGTCGAGTGTCCGTGTCTGGCAAAGTCGTTGGAACCACGCATGGGTCATCCTCAGGTCCCGGATTTTCAGGCCAACCAATGGCATACTTTCTGGTGCATCTTTGTTTTCTGAGCCACAAATACAAGGGCCAGAAGTACTCTTTCATGGGTCTCACATCCATAGTCCTCTTATCAGTGAGCCTTTCTAAGGCCTCGGGCCAGGGCCTGCTCTTTCCTAGTTGCAGCATCTCGCTATGAGAAGAACAACGATAACTTTTAGAGATAACATAAAAGTTTCGAAAGTCGCCGCGAGTCAAGACTTAAATCACGCGATGGCGATGCAAAATCTATAGATACACCATTAATGATGCAATAAAAGAGGCACAGAAGAACGAATTAAGAGCATTTTTCCTAACGAACTTTGTTCCTTTCAGCTCCAGTCCTTACCTGATCTTTTTGCCCGCTTCCTTAGACTGGTAGATGGAGCACTGGTGAAGAGGCCCCTTGACGCCTGCTAACTTACAGGCCGCTTTGTGGAATTGAAACTGTAACACGCTGCTGATAAAGTACCTGATGGAAAATAGGCCAAAAAGCCTTCGACTTCAGTGGAACTTTGCGACAACACCCCCACCTTATATTTTTAATGAAAAGTCCGGCTGGGTTACCAGCCATTTCCGGTTCTTTTTTCAGGATAAGCGTGCGTTAGGTGGAACACACGCAAGGAAAACAAGCGAAATCGAACCTCTAGCGTGCCTCTTGCTTAGGTATCGGTCATTTTTTATCGCCAGGGGAGGGAGGGGGGAGAAGATGAACGGGCAATCAAAGGAGAAGGGGGGGGGGGGTCTAGGAAATAGACTGCCAGTGAGGGGAAATCATTTGATACTGCAAAATCTAAAGGGAAATCAGGTAAATTTTAATGTGAAACAACAAAACTCCTCCGTCCCCCCTCCTTTAATAAATAATGACTGGCCCCTTAGATACAAAGGAAGGGAAAGGCCTACTTCTCAGGCTAAAGTAAGTACTGAAAGTGAGAAGAACCCAAGCAACTCGCGCTCAAAAATAAAGCATTTTTCTTCGCCATTAAGTATAAGCTCACTCGAATCCCAAGTATTCCGAATAATTTTTGCTTTTCCTGAATGTTTGAGTTATGTAGTAGCAGTGCTACTCAGAGACATAAACATCTGAAAACGCTATATATTAACACGACATGCAGACCTACTGAATGCCATAGCGAGAGGATTGAGCCCGCAAGACAATCCAAGGGCGTTGAACGTTACATTATGAGTCAGATAATGTAAAACGGTTACATACCGTATGTATGGCACGTCGTTTGGTACGTGATACTTAGCTCCAGGGTCAAAATCCTTTTCTGTTCTCTCAATAGGCGGTTTGATGCCCTGGTACCTAGTTCTCAGTTTCCACCATTCAGTGTTATATTCGCTCGGTCGGATTTTTCCCGCGAAAACTTTCCATCGCCATTGGTCGATTAAATATCCAAAGGGCAAGAAAACAATACTGCTGAGTGCCGCCTTCATTAGATTGTTTATGTCAGCTTCTGCAAAAACATGTTAAAATAAATAAATAAATAAATGAAATCGCGCTCAAGCTAAATATTTCGTCTCTGTTCCCTTTACATGCCGGCTGAGCCCGCAATGGTGATGAACACTACATTAACACCATGACGACCATAAGTTTTCCTTGTTGCTTCCTCTGTCACGCAAAGGTGCTCTTTCGGCCTAAGTTGGAAAGAAGGCAATGCTGCGTGACAGATAGTGGTAACAGCACAGGTAGCCCAAGACGTTGCCATGCATTTGGATTTGAATGAGAAAAATGTTGCAAATAAAAGAGATATATTCCAGATTTAAATGAAAGGAAAAAAAATTGCTTAAGTCGTCGTTTCCTTGACTTAGGTGTGGTTCTCGATCAAATCAAAGCGTTTTCGGTGGATTTTGCAGTTAAATTCCAAAGATTAGATTGTTAATTCTCCCCTCCAGCTGCTACACATTTCCTTGTAAATAAGATAAGAGAATTTGGTGTTATACCAAGATTACAAATGGAAGTTACATGTTAATTAGTTCAGGGAGTTGAGGGATAAAAAACAAGGCGTGGCAGGAGCCCATCACCCCGGGCTCCTGGGCTTGGTTACTTAAAAATAAAACAAAACAAAAACGAAAAATAAAAGACAAAACAACATCTGCATAGTTTCAAATAGACTCAAACAAAACATTCGAGACAAGGAAACGCACGACTGAAGTCCAATAAGTTTTTACATTTCTGTCTTTTCTTTTCCCGGTTAATACCGAAAATTTTTTCGGTTTCCGAATGCAACAAGTTTCTCTCATGCAAATCATTTCATGTCTACTGCTGCGTAATAGAAATGTGAGTCATTTCAACCCTTTAACTCCTAACAGTGACCAGCGACTAATTCCTCCTTACAACAACGCCCCTGAATCACACATTAAAGTCATAAGTCACCAGGTAAAGAAGCTCCTGATTGTTTAACAAATTCTCTTTGTTACCACCTTGGGTAATGCTTAAAGCGAGATATGGAGAATATGCATACTGATGTTAAGGTGCAAAAGGCAAAAGGTTAACTCGCGCGTCGAGCTCGGTACACCTGTGGTCCTAGTGTTTCTTTCTTCTCACCTTCGTCATGAGAATATTCCTTTAACAATCCAATCTTAACAAGATGCTGTGGAGTAGAAACTGAGAGAGATATGGTATCACCAACAGCTTCGTGAAATCCTGGGTTTGCGCTGTCACGGAAGATGTAGGGTTGTTCCCAGTACGACAAGAAATAGTAAATGTGACCCATCTCATGATGTGTCGTGACAAGCCAGCCTTGCGTTACCTCAGTGCATTGTTTTATTCTGAAAAAGAAAACGTAAGCAAATTGAGTAATAGGTGGGCAAACAAACGAACTAAGAAACATGAGGCGAAAGAAAAAGAAAAAAAGAAAAGAAGGAAAAGAAAGAGAGAAAAAAAGTTGACGCCGGTCGGTGGCATTCTAATCGAGTTCCAAATAAACGAGACTGGTGGGTTTGCACACAAAACGAAAAGATCTTTAAACCAGACAGAACAAAAGAAACCTAAATCACGGGGATGACTATTACTCACTCTCAGGTCAGGGATCATGAAAGGTCTGCGGAGAGAAGAATTTTCTGACAGGTTGCCAGATTTCCCTGCTTCCTAGCAGAGTTACAGAGCTTAAGGACTTACCCACTTTTCTCTGCCAAGGAAAAGTCATTTATTTGTAAGACTAATTCCTAGCGTGCCCCCAGTTTCCTGTCTAAGACCATTCTGGGAAGGCCCCTATTACTAATTTCACGTTTCTCATATCAATTTCAAACCAAAAAAGTACATAACATGATGACTATTGTTTACATCCATTTAGAGAACTTCGAACTTTTCAAGTGGTTAGGATCGAATTGCCCACGTGCTACGTGCGGACGATGGGTCATGTGAGCTGATCGACAGGGGGGGGGGGTAAGCCCTAAGATACCAGTTGGAAGGTAAGACGAGTAGACATTTAAAATTAGTTAGTGCTTCGACACGACTGTTTCTTCGCCCGTGGAAAACTATGAGGGGTCATTAGGCAACGCAAGTCGGCGAGAGGTCTGTAAGAGGCCTAGCATTGATAATGAATGCGCGCTAGTCTGCTATATCCCCAGCAAACTCTCCCCGACTCGTTTTCAAATCTTCCCGCGGGCGGAATTTCGAAAACGCGTGTCATGCTTCGCTAATAATAAAAGCCTGCCCGCACGTCAAAAATACTCTCGAAAAAGAAAACAAAATGATAGTGACAAACACCACAGATATGTTTGGAATGCCGCCTTTCCCAGATAGATAACGCGTCAACAATGAATACCGCTTACTTCAAAAGGCGAAAACAAACTACGGGAAATGTTTTTGAATCATAAATCGCGAATGATCTTAAAATAGCTCGAGTTATTTATGTAAGTATCAGATCAGCTTTACCATTTGAGAAAATTGATGAAATACTGGAACGAATTGATGCAACAAATGATCTTGCTTCATTAATCTGGAATCGCAGAACTACCTAGTGGTTATTATTTTCACTTAAAGAGGATGTTTGATTACATCCTTGCGTGAAATTTCCGTTCTCAGTCAGAGATTACCAACACTCCGCTGGTCGCTCGATTTGTGTCAAGATACAACAGATTCGTGATTATCTTATCTAAGTGAACAGCCCTTGGAACACACTTGCTTTGATTTTAATCGGAATGAAGCAAAGCTATCTAAATGACGGGAAGTTATTTCCTAATCTCGAGATTAATACATCCGCTACGGTGGGATTGTACGGGAAAGAGGTTGAAGGCTGCATGAGTTTTAAGGGCTTTGAGGTGGCTCACCTTCTCTGACTAAAAAGGCGCGAACAAATATTTAGTCAACCATCGTGGAAATTCGCAAAAAATGCGCGCTGTTTGAAGTTTGGAAACCCTACTTATCTCGAATTTCGGTATTACAGGAAATTGCACTTTTTAAAAGCTGTGAAATTTTTCCGGCTTTACTGCAAGTTTCGAGAAAGTTAATTACTTTCGTAAGAGAAGGTCTATCAGTTGAGAAAGTACAAAACAAGAAGAGATTAGTTGATCATTAAAATTTCTTGGTTTGACGGTGGAAGTAGAATAAATTATATTACAAACTTTTATGAATGGGTCGTAATCGACGTCAAATTAAAGCTGGTCTTGGGTTATATTTTTCTTAAAGGAAAAACTTGCTATTGCGTGACTGTCACGCAATCATAACCTTTACAAATCTAACTTCCTAACGTCTCACAATATAGTTTTGCCTTACCTTACATCCTTTTCTCCATCTTTGGTTTCCACATAAAAATCCCAGGCAGATGCATGACAAACAACATCGCGTCCTTCGGGTTTCTTGGTCATCGATCTTTGCACAAAATTATTTGGGAGTTTCTCCATTCCGAGCGACAAGAAAAATGATTCGGTGATCTCAAACATACGATCTACTGTAAAATTATCATCATTCATCTGCTTAGTAACATCAAGGCTTGATTTGTCCTTGATCGGTTCGACTAGCGGATAAATATTCGTCCAGGATTGTGCCCACATATTGCCCAACAAATGAGCTGGGATGGCATCTTTCTCTTTTACTAGAGGGTATTGCTTCATAAGCTGAACCCTCACATACGCATGTAATTCTTTGTAAAACGGCTCAAGATCTTTCCAGAGGTTTTCTACGATCTCGGGCAAATTATCAACCTCGTAGAAGGATCGCCAATATTCGCCGTAGTCGCGAAAACCGTTGTCGCGGGCGCCTTGGTTTGACAAGTTCACGTATCGTTCATAAAGGGGACGAATTTTTGGGCCAACAACGTCACGCCATTCCTGCCACGCGAACTTCAAGCGATCGTGTCTCTGTGACGAAGCCATTATTTCTGTTAGATTCGGTGACAAAGACAAGTTTTTCCCTGTCTCTGCGTCGAAAACTTGAGATGAACTATAAATATTCTGCATTTCAATCTCAATATTTGCGAGTTCTTCCCGTTGCTGTCTATCTTTCAGAGTCGCAGATGTGCGAAGCAACTTCAGTTGTCGTTGAAGTGTCTCTGGTAAACCCTCAAGATTGCTGAATCGCGACGCATTCTTCCGCGCTTTTTCGAGGAAAGTTTGAAAAGCCAAAGTCGCTACTTTCTTTTCGGATGCTGCTTCTTTTGACGAGACATCTGTTGAATACTTCCAATCTGCGATCTCCCTTTTACTTGCTTCTATGGGTGCGCGCTGGTTAAAATGCTTCAGAAAGTCTTCCACTTCGCTGTTGGCTTCAACAAGCGAGAGTTGCGTGAAAGCAACCAAACACAGAACTGAAAACATCGTAAGGAAAACAGGCAAGAGATCAGACAAGGTGCCACCGCGATTGAATGACTCAACGCCGCTCTAAGTTACGATGTAAGCTGATTAATTTTTTCCCCTCAAGCGTCTGACTCTATGACGCCTACGTGTTGAGTGTAACAAGAAACCTTCAGATTTGACCTCACTATCCGTGATGATTGCCAAAATAACCTTGAAGGGCGATAATATTATTTTTTCAGGACACAAATGTATTACCCTACAGAATTAGAATTGACCATAGAAGCGACTGCAATCTCTGAGACAAAACCATTAAGCTAATCGGCAGACTTGAAATGATCTCAGATAATGTTTTACAGATATAGCTTAGTGAATTCGCGACATGCCGATAGGATTCCATCACAGTTGTAATGAGACACCCTTCCAATAACTAAAATAATTTTTCTTTTACAGGAACCCAAGGTTTTACATCAACGACAATGCCACACTTTTATTATGATTTGAAGACTTCGATGTGATCGTCAGTTCGGAAGAGGAGTGACTTTCTGGGTGGGGCTGGTCACTCTGGTCTGCCATCTCGGATTAACAGGGAGTCTGCCGGATGAAGAAACAAATCTGCTTGGCTCCCACAAAGCTCGTCAAATCTCCCGAAAAATAAAAAAGATTGACAAACATGTTACAAGAAGGAATAGAAATCAAATAAATTTCATCTCATAGCCTTTTTTTCCAGATTTATTACACTTTTGCGAACTCTTTTTCGACTTCGCGCCCCTGGGAGGGACAGGTACGAAGATTTAAGGGATGGGGAAAGTGGGAAAATAATGCAGAGAAAAAACTAGCCCAGAATTCCAAAGGTTGTGTTTGACTCGGCAGAACCATTCATTTATTCCGAAATTTAGTAAATTTTGATTACAGTTTTACCGAAATAATTATTTTAAAGAAGTTTTAGAAATGAAATCGAACTGCAATACCACATAAGCGGACACTTTCTCCTCACCAGGTGAAGTACGCAGCCCCTATGACTCTTGTTGAGGGTATTAGCGTAAGAACTGGCAAAGAGAAATATTTGTCTAGCACTTATATGCAAATGTCCACTTACTCTCGGATTGTTACTTAGTAATTTGGAGAATTTACGTATTTTCGTAGAGTCCTTGAAAAACTACAACATTTTTCTTTTTTTTTTTACTCGGTGAGGCTGCCAACAAATTAGACGCTTAATAATTTACACGTTTGGCCGTCAAAAACGAGCTTTCACTCATTCACGCGATCCATGTCAAACCGGAAATAATTACTCATTTCATCTTTCAAGTCGATTGTTTTCTTTAAATTGAAAAGTCTTGAGATGTCTGGGCGTTTACATGTCCTACATGCGAGGCTTGCCTTTAAGTAGATTACCCACCTCTGTGAAAACCAGCGTTGTAGAGCGGTTTCGCACGCGAGAGTTCAGACTGTTATGTCTCATACTGTGAACACTACCTCACTCGAAGCGAGATTTGCCCCTGAAACTGTTTCACAGCCAGGGTTCGGTTTCTTACTCCACTGATATGAAAGACCAGACCCAAACAACATCAATGTCGTCTTTTCACGTGAACAGAGCCATCTCCATCGTTTAGCATACAAAACATGAAACTTCGTAAACATCACCAAATTTGTCTGTGTGTGTGTGAGTAGACTTGTCTCATCTATCAAACGCTTGCAAGTCAGGCTGTCACAGGAAAACGAATCAAAATTTTTCCATTATGACTGCCTAGGAAATCTTTTCAAGAAATAGTCGTTAGTGTCAGTTCGGCTTGAAAACGTACTAAACGTACTATTAAAAAATCGAGAAAGATAAAAATGAGCACATGACTGACATGATGAATTTTCCATCTGCCAATCACGACTGTAAATTCAAGTTTTCTCGTCTTACGATCATTCTCTGGGGGACACATATTTGCGACAAAAAACACACACCCTTAGCAGGTCAACTTACGAGCAAGAAAAGGTTTTCAGATGCGCTGCTCCCCTGATACCTACAGCAAGAGACTTCTTTATCTGCTTAGTAAACAACCTAAAGTACACGTTTAATGGGCTTAGCTGTTATGTTCTTATATGCTCAACTGTAAATAAACACCGGCCAACTCCCTCTTCATTTATGTGATTTAGGTCGCTTAACGAAGTATTTAACTTTTCACTCTGCTTGGATCTAATTATTCAATACCCCTTTCACAAAACCTTAATTTTTTTAAAATTTATTTATTTATTTTTTTACTTCGCTGCATCATACTGTAGAGGCACTGGTCACGATAATCTGATTTGCATAAAATGGCAGTCTGTAGCACCCACCTTTCCCCACACCCCACTAATGACTCGACTTTTCTATCATTTGACTGTTATTGGGTTAGGGGAGGAGTAGATGCGTAGTTTCTCAGATACTGACACTGATACAGACGAAGAGGTTTCTAACAGACTCAACAAAGCTGTATATTGCTAAAACGTATTTTATTAACAGTTTATTTGAAACTCAGATCAGTTTGATCAAGCAAAAAAAAAAAAAGACGAAAAGGTCACAAAAGATACACTATTGCGACTAAAATACACAGGCCCCTATGACAAATTATCTCTTTTCCTCAGAACATTAAGACTCTATATACCTTTGTACAAAAGCGAAATCTTAACTGATACAGGATAGACAGAACCATTCGTTACCAGTGCGTTCGCGTGACTCCAATGCTTCCGCTGTACAACAAAACATTTGAACACAGACTCGATGGCTGAGAGAGTTCTAGTACGGACTACATTGCGTGACTAAGTTGCGTAACTTTCACTTCCAACACCTGAGCCATCCTCGAAGCAGGCCAGTTTGCATGGTCACGCGTCAAGAAACTATACACAACCGATACGTTGCCATTTGCCCCGGGTTTTTATCCTACCGTGGCTATCTTGCATTCACTGGAGAAAACTGTATATTGCAGGAGTAATCGATTTGCTGGGAAGAAACTGTCACTTGCGCGGAAGACGCACATGACAGGCGCATAACTCTCGCGGGAAACGCGCGTGGACGAGAAAGCTTTATACGCCTTACTCATACCGCTTGTACCGGGTGAAGAAGGCGGAAATTGCTTTCAGAGTTCACTGCATAGGAACAAAGTAATCGCATTGATATAACACCTCATCAGAACTTTGTACTGAAAGAATGCCACGCCAATTAAACAAGAAAAGGCTTGAAACTGCTACAGGCACAGGATTAAGTTTCCACGAAGCAAAGCGTGACTGCTCTGTAGTTAATTACAACAGATTTCTAATCCAGGAACAACCAGAGGTGCAACAGGTATCTGCAGAATTCTTGTGTAACGACAGGTAGTTTCGCTGTGTCACGCAACGTAGTGGTACTGGTTAGGAAACTCTTTATCCCTTTCCATGTAGTCACGTTCTATCAGACTTTCAATGCGTTTCTTAAGGTCTGTAGGCTATAAAAGAAGACAGTAAAGTTGTAAAAACCAGTCCAAAGGCCCCAAGTGTTCTGAGTGCTCAGAACACTTAGGGGTTGAATGAAAAACTGGGC